ATAGTACACTTTAAGTGTATAGAGAAAGATATACACTTACTAGTGTACGAAGTATATTTGACGTTCCATTTTAGTATTTAAAAGTATACTTAATACACTTAAAATTGTGATTTGTACAACTTAAATACAACTAAAGTATTTTTAGCTGTTCCAAAATAGCACCCTTTAAGTATACTGATGATTAGTGTCGCTTCAAGTATATTAAAGTATATACTTAGATTAAGTGTACTTAGTATAATCATTTTTCACCTGGGTGTTCTTCAGAGAAATGAAATTAAGTGAAGTTAAAGGCAAGGAGCCGGTGTGATAAAACAGAAAAACAGTTTGTTTTAAAGTGTTAGTAGAGAAAACAGGTCTGTGCGTATTTAACAGAACTACTATATCCTCCTGGATCAGTTCTGACAACAAACTGCAACTAAAGGAAGGAAAAGAGAGAGGAGAGGAGCAGAGGGGGATGATGGGAAATCACCTCCTTCCTGTTAAATAAGAGCAGGCTGGCTTTGTTTTTGTCCTCGGCGTCCCACACAGTCCTGGCTGCACCGGACAGAACGCTCTCAGCTTCTGACAGCCTGGAGGAGAACTGAGACACGACTTGATTGATGGAGGGAAGACGGTTCTCTGTGACCGTCAGTTTCTTCTCCAGCTGACGGATGCGCCTCAGCACTGGAAACACAAGCAGGAATCATTGTGGTCACAATTAATCCAAAGTGTTGGGCGTAAAAGTGCCCAGAAAGGTGTCGTATAGATATCTCTCTGTTGGGTGGTTAAGTTTAATCTGAATGTGTCTGCTCACAGTCATGGGCCTCGCTGGATTCGTCCGTGGCCATGGGTTCTCGTGGAGACAGGTCCAGACTCCTCATCCAGGTCACCATGTCCTGAGATTCTTCAGTTCTTTGTCTGAGCACCTCTGGAGCCACTTCTTGTTGAACACTGTATAGTTCCCAGTCATTGATTATATCTGTGCACACACATATTATCACTCACACAAGTTGGTTTTTATATACCTGTGGGGACCTTAAATTAACTTCCATTCATTTTCCAGTCATTTCCAAAGCCTAACCCTGACACTTTACCCTAAAACTAACCACCCCAGTTCCAACCTGACTCTAAATCTAGCCTAAACTCAATTCACACTTTGGTCCTAAACCCAACCCCCYACCCAAAATCAGCATCCATACCCATGGGAACCAGACCTTTGTCCCCACGAGGAGCATTGGTGTTTTTCTGGAAAATGGTCCCCAAGATGAAGGAAAAACATTTCCACACACACATCATCTGTCTAGTACAGCTATCTTTATGGGGACTTTGCAATGACTTTCATTAATTTCCACAGCCTAACCCTGACCACCAACACAAAACCTAACCCCTGAGCCACTAGCGGCATTTCCCCTCATAGAGACTTGATTCAGGTCCCCATAAGTACCCGTGGTTCTCACGTTTGCAAAAATAGGTCCCCACATTATAGGGAAAAACCAGCTTCCTTGTACATGCATCAAACTGAGGACTTTGTATTGACTTCCATTAATTTTTGTAACTGCATTCATGCCTAACCCATAACAATTACTATCTATTCTTAACCCTAACCTGAACCAAACTTTAATTCACACCATACTTCTAAACTTAACTAGTGGAGCGCAGTAGTGCTGCAAATATGTGAGGGCYGGGAAAATATCCTCACTTCCCAAAAATGACCTCATTTTGTTGGTTAAAAACCTGACATGGTTCTAACTCTGTAGC